GGTACTGCAGCACCAGCCAATATGTGGAACTTCCCTGCTAGACGGAAAAAATTCCAGCATCTAACAGACCAACCAAAATCACTGACTGGAGCCGGAAGGTAATTTTCAATAACACAGTCAATAATGCAAATAGCGTTATGGTTGAAAGCCAATAACGGACGTCGGTCATAAAAAAACTGTCACCAATTTGACTTTGTTTTATTTTTATTTTGCAGGGATATTTCATTTCTGTATGACGTCATACCAGAACCAAGCAAACAACCGTAGATGACCCTTATGATAAGAGTTCTTCAAGAGCGTTAGAGAAATACAGAGAATCTGTACAAGGTAAAAAGGTAGGTGGAAATTTAATTTTGCTAAATTTACATTTATATGTATTTTATTTTGTTAAAATTTTGGTGAGATTGTTTAGCAGTTTATCACCAACTAGACATCCACTCACAGTGTCATTCAGATGGATATTCAGATTATTAATATATACATTAAATAACATTGGCGACATAACACCGCCTTGACGTACTCTGTTAGATACACAGAATAAGCGGGATATAGCATTCCCCCATTTAATGAAATGGTGAATTTTAGATTCTCAATCATTCAAAAAGAATGGGTGCGGCTTCTATTAGGGATGCGGCTTCTAATACAGATTTTACGGTATATATATAGGTACATTACGTTCAGTCAATTTGTAAAGCGTCAAGGAAACAGACAAACATGTGACTATCGAGCGAATTATAATGACGTATTGCTTCTTTTAACAGAAATACACACAGATCCGTTGAATGGTTTTTCCATAAATCCAAACTGATTGTCAGTTAGGTCAATAAACTCCTGGCATCTAGACATCATTATATGCTCAACAATTTTGGAAATGACGTTGGTTATCGCAATCGAGCGATAATTATCTAAACTAGTCACATCGCTAGCTTTATTCTAAATTAGTGGCACAATAACAACTTTTATCATGTTATCCGGAACAGATCCATGACAAAACATTGCAGAGATACACATGGCTAGGTTTAGTCACCAATATTAGCCAATAGCAGTATTCAACGAACTGTTTTAGTCACCAATATTGGAGTATAACAGTATTCAATTAAATGGCTAATTCTCTGATACTGGTAACAACCAGAGTTTTTGGTGTTTGTACATAACATAACAAACTACTTAAGTTTTATCATGTTCCGTCATATTATAATACTATGTGTGCTTGTCTTATAGCCTGGTATGAGTTTACCGGATACATTGATACCAGAAGAATATCACGTAGTGAAATCCAAAGGTGTTCAAGGACTAGAATTCAATGAAGAGTAAGTTGTTGAATGAATTCTTTAACTCTTGTGATGGTGGCGTACACTATTTGATTAAAAAAGAAAACACTTCTTTAACTTCTGGGTGTTTAACTCATTTGGTCTATGTGTAAAATAAGACTGCATTCCAAGTTTACATTGTCATCTACGGGGAGTTTGATTGGAGTGTGATGTCTTTACACACCTTTGAACTGCATGTGATGTACTGTCTCATACAATCTTAAGCTGTACTCTATATACATAAACTTACTACACATTGCTTCGTTTATAAAAATTAAAATATTATTAATACAAAATGTAATCCGGCACTTATTTTGAACCAGTTTGTGAAGTAGATATATTTCATGGAATGCTTATATTGTGATAATATACCATGATGTAATGTATAACAAATTCATTATATCCACAGTTATTTTCTCACATGCAAATTTATACGTGTTAGTATTGCTAACATCATGTTTTTGTCTGTTTACTCAGTAAGTTTACTACACAGCTGTCAGATATGGATAAGAATCTACGTACTTTTCCATCAATGTAAGTTATTTTGTCATTTGTTTTAGCTTGTCTGGGGGATTACGGATTGGGTTCTATGGTATACTCCTGTATTTTTTTCTCTATAAGATTCAAAATGTTATTCTGACAGCCTTATTTGTTCAACAAAATTTACATACATTTATATGTACCGACCAATTCTGTTCATATTTTTGATTTACTGTGACGCATCTATTACCAATTTGTTTGAATCAAGCCTATTTACTGGCGACCATTTTGTATCTCAAAAATACTTGTACCTATTTCTGTCTTGATGTGTTCACTGGGATCTGTTTAATTTAAAATCTATCCTGGTAGGATTTATTTTGTATACGTCTGTGAATTACAAAATGTTTTGAACTGTACTGAAATGCTGCCATGTTTTTCCCATGTCTCTTTGTTTCCTAGGAAACCAGTGAGTCGGTATGAAGTAGTCCAGTTAATGGAAACTCTGGACACTATGTTGGAGAAATCTGGAATTGATGATGAGGAAATAGAAGTGAAAGGACCCACACAAGTAAGTTTGCATCACATTTTTCTGAAAATTTATTTGTGTTTGATGTGAGTCCCATGCAACATTATACAATTATTCTAAAATATTTTGTCTGTTTATTTAAAATTTTGATTTGTGCATGGCAACCAAGGGGCATTAATAATAAGTATATTTGTGAATGAATTTTCTAAATAAGACAAATGTAGTGTTTTCAATATCATCAGTTTAGTATTTTCTTGTGATATGTTCTCACTATCTTTTTTTTTTTATTTCTCTTCAGATGCATAATTTATTGGAATTAATAAAAAAAGAGCAAAATATTTATAATTTGATATTCCATGAACTCATTAGACAGGTAAGTTAAAATTGTGATGTGATGCATTGTAACCAGTGTATTCTATTCTAGGCTGCAAACTGCTACTTGGGCAGACATGACAATTTTATACAAACAATATGTGTCAGAATAAATACTAAGATATTACCCTGTATTTCAGTATTTATAGTTAATGGTGTATTATACACAATTATTACCAAGTGATGTATTATGGTTGTATTTTTTTATTTCTAGATTGTGATAAACACTTCCTCATAGGGCATACTATTAATTTAAGTCTTCATGAAAGTAGTTTATTGAATATAAATTACACTGATTATTGTGAAATTTAATGCAACTCATTGAAAAAAAAAAAATCTCGTCATTGTCACTATCACACTTGTTACAAACCCATTGAGACACCGACAATAAAAAAAACTCCTGAGCCGTAAACATATATTCGTAAATGGTAATTCGGCAGTAGCCATCTTGAATTTAAACCAAAATAAAATCCATTTTATATGTCTGTATGTACAGGTTCTTGGATACATGTATTTACACTATAAAAATTATATGGATTGTTGGTGATTAGCCGGACTATCGGTAACTGGTGTTC